TGTTAACCTAAGCACCTGCCAGCCAGGCTGGACCCAGAGCAGTGACCCTGGTCCTAGACCATGCTCCATCACTGAGCACTGTGGGCTCCGTGCTGCTGCTCTCTGGGCCTTCCAGCTCCACGGCTGCATGTCAGATGCCAGGGGTATTTGAGTTCTTGGAGGAAAGTGCAGTCAACCCCAGCTTCCCCAGATGGAGCTAAACTGGCAGATTGGCAGATAATGAGCAGGCAGTCAGGAACTGAAGAGGAGGAAGTGAACCAGAGAAATTGATGGGCACAAAGGGGTGGTGGAAGAACAGGGAACAGTGAGGGTGTGAATGTGGGTGCCAGCAGGGATGCACACACACAGTAGGTCCACATGTGTGCCTGGTGTGCACATCCATGGCTGGTCAAATGGCACTTTAAGGCCTGTGCATCCATGTGACATGCTGTGTGTCTATTTGGGTGTCTTCTTTCATTCATTTAAGAAATATGTGTGAGGATCTACTATGTGCCAGGCATTGGGGACACAGCAATGAAAAGGCAGTCAAGCCTCCCTGCTCTCAGTAAGCAAATAGCCAGTAAACAAACAGATCTCTGATCTGGGAAGGCGTCTCTGAGGAGATGACATTGAGGCAGAGACCTGATGGATGGGAAAGCATGGGCCCCGGGGGAAGAGCATTCCAGGCAGAGGGGACTGTACATGCAAAATCCCCGAGGAGAAGTGGAGCGGCAACCAGGTCTTGCAGCCATGTAGACCATAGTCAGGGCTTTGCCTTTTATGCTGAGCAAGCTGAGAAGTCAGCAGATGGGCTTGTTCAGAAGAGTGACATGATCCCAGTTTTAATAGCATCCCCTGGCTGTTCTGTGATGCTTAGGTGGTGGGGGCGAGGCGGGGGGGAGGGCAGAAGCAGAGTGCCCATTGAGGAGAATATTGCAATTACCTAGACAGGAAATGATGGTGGCATGGAACAAGGTGGTACCAGTGAGGGTATTGAAAAGAGGTCGACTTATGGATAGATTTTGAAAGTAGAGCTGAAAGCATTTGCTAATGGATCGGATGTGGGGTGTGAGAGAAAGAAAATTCAAGGATGACTACTGAGATTTTGACCTGGGCAATTAAATAGATGGCATTTCCACTTACCGAGATGGAAGGGGCAGATTTGGAGGGTGGAGGGAAGTGGGGAGTTTGGTTTCAGACGTGCAAAGTTGGAAGTATTCATTAGCTAACCAAGTGGAGATCTTGGAAAAGGCAGTTCAATATACAGGCTCAGTGAGAGGTCTGGGCTGCAGAGATAAATTTGGAAGTTGTCAGTAGCAACGACCCCCCTGGACTCTCAGAGCCCAATGAGTACTTAGAAATCAATTTTGCAAATGGGGGAAACTGAGGCTCAGAGGGGCAGTAATGTGTCCAAGGTCATACAGCAAGTCACAGGTGGCTCAAGCCCCTGACTTCCCAGGTCCAGCAGCTCCTACTGCTGGATTCAAACTCTGGCCTAAGAGGATATGGCCCTGTCTCTCTTCACCCAGAACTGACCTGCTCGTTCCCACATGGAAAAGACCATAAAGGAGGCTGAAGAAGGAAGCAGGAGCCATATCCCAGGACCTGAGGGAAGCACGGAGCCTGGGAAGGCTTAAGCAAGGAAGTAGCATGAGCAGACTTGCATTCTAGACAGCTCCCCAGCTGCTGTGTGGAGAATGGATGCAGATGGTGGGGTGGGGGCTCCAGAGGGAGGCCCAGCCCCATATCCACCGGGATGGCTTGTCTATCATTAGGTCACCCTCTCTTCAACTCAAAGAGGTGGCAGGACTGATGGTAGCATCCCCATCAAACAAATCGGAACACCGAGGCTCAGAGAGGAGAAAATGTGCTCACAGTCACATAGCAAGGCAGTGACCGAGCAAGTCGCTGAGCTTGGCTCCCAGACTGTTGGGAGTGGCCAGGGTCCTTGTGTCACACGTGGGGAAACTGAGACCAAGAGAAGGGCAAGGACTCGTTCAAGGTCGCCCAGCCAGTAGGAGGCAGAGCCAGCCCCCAACTTCACAAGCACCACCCTAAGAAGCCCCAGCCCTGCCTCACCTCCCTCTCCCAGCCCCCTCACTCTGACATTCCACTCAGGAAAAAGTCAGGCAGGGCACTCAACAAGCCAGGAAGCCCAGGAGGGGGGAGGGAAGAAGCAGAAATTAAATGGGTTTATTTCATTTGAGCAACTTTTTGAAGGAGAAGCGAATTCGACACCGGGTGCGTGCAGAAACTCCAGGCGGCTTTGAAAATCAGTCACAATTACTGAGCCTCGTGTTCTGGGCCAACGGGGGCGGGGCGGACAAGCGGCACCGGGTCTGGGCAGCTTCGGAGATCAGAAGGAGCAGGGACGCAGCTTGGGACATGAAAGGCAGCAGAGCTCGCAAATTAAACCGCTCCCAGCTTAAAAGAGAAGGAAAGTGAGCCGGGGGCCTCCCACAAGCCGCCACGCTTCCGCTTCTGAGGAGAGGCACGCCAGCCAAGCTGAGCCCCCGAAACAGGTCCTGCAGCTGAGTCAGGAAGCCTGGCTCCCCTCATGACCTTGGCCAAGTCCCTGCCCCTCTCTGGGCCCCAGGTTTTCTTCTGAGCATTCAGGGATTTCATTCATGCAACAGATATTTATTGAGTGCCTGCTATGTGCCAGGCACTGTTCCAGGCACTGGAGACTCTTAGGAAGCCTATGTATAGACCAGGGAGAGAGACAGGAAATAAATAAACAAGCCAATATATTATATACCCAGTGGTGTAAGTGCTGTAAAGAATAGGGGATTGGGAATTACACAGGGTGGGACAAAAGTAGATTTAATTAATACATAAGAAAACAAGAATAAATTCTGTGTTTCAAGTACTCAACAACTGTAACCCTACTTGTGCCCCACTCTGTATTGGGAGAGTGCTATTTTAGAGAAAGAAGTTAGGGAAGGCCTTTATATCTATAGCGATATAGATATAGATATAGATATTTCAAAGAAGAAGGGAGAGGGAGAGATAGAAACATCAATGATGAGAGAGAATCATCGATTGGCTGCCTCCTGCAAGTCCCACACTGGGGATCGAGCCTGCAACCAGGGCATGTGCCTTGGACCGGAATTGAACCCAGGACCCTTCAGTCCGCAGGCCGGCACTCTATCCACTGATCCAAACCGACTAAGGCAGCCCTTCTTTTTATAGGATAACATTTGAACAAAGATCTGAAGGAACCAAGGGAGTGAGCCAAGGAGCCATGTGAAACAGTAGTTTTCATACTATATTGTGCATCTGTATTGCCTGAAGGACAAAACACAGATGGCTGCCTTCCCCCAGGCTTTCTGATTCAGTAGGACTGGGCTGCTAGGAATGTTCCCATTTTTTAAAACAAATTCCAAGGTGATGCTGATGCTGCTGGTTTAGGGACCACACTTGGAGAAACACTACACTGGAGGAAGAATGTTCCAGACCGTGAACAGCAAGTGCAAAGGTCCTGAGGCATAGTGTGTTTGTCATGTTTGAGGAATAGCAAAAAGGTCAGTGTGGGTGAAGAGAGGAATAAGTGAGGAGGAGAGTGTCCACTGAGGTCAGAAAAGGTACCAGGGCAGGGTCTCTTAGGACTTTGCAGCCATTGAAAGGTTTTCGGTTGCACTCTGAGAGAGCTAGGGAGTAGAGCAGTGACATGACCCAACTTATATATTTAAACGATGAGTGTTGCCCACCATGTTGAAAATAGACTGTAGGGAGCAAGGTTGGAAGTAGGAAGATTAGGGAGGGGCAATCGCAGTCCTGTGGGCAAGAGGTGATGGTGACTTGGACCAGTGTAGGTGGTGAGAAGATACGGGTTTATGGATGGATGTTGAAGGTAGAGCCAACAGGGTTTATGAGGAATTGGATGTGGGGAATGAGAGATGAGACAAGGATGATGCTGACGTTTTTGGTCTGAGTC